GGAAGAGGTCCCCGGGAGAGGTCAGAAATCTGAAGCCTGCTTGGGCTTCGGCAGTGAGACCCAGCATCCGTGGACGCCTCTTGCAGCTGTAGTTAGTTCCCCTAACAGAGGAAAACAACATTTAATATGACTTATTTATTCACAACGAAAGCAGTAACCACAGAGGTCCCCAGGGAGACAGACATCCAAAGCATAAATCATAGCTACACAACATCAACTCTTTTCTTGCCAACAGTTCCTCAACCTGAGGGAACAAGCAGACAAAAGCAGATCATAGGGCATTCTACAAGACTGTGGGCCTGGGCTCTTCAAAAATATCAATATCAAGAGAGAGACAACTGCTGAGGGAGATGCCCTCAATTGGGGGGTTCTGGGACAACAAGACAAGCAAGTGTAGGATGTCATCTTGGGTGGCGTCGAGTTTCACAAAAAGCTCTGCAGGATATTTTTGGGACAGTTGGGAGATTTTTGCATACAGATTTTACTAGGTAATACTGTAAGATACTAAATCTCTCGGGTGTGACAATGGCACTACTATATAGAAGAATGAGCTTGTTCATGGGAGATATACAATGTTTTCTTTGGCTGAATCACCTCACTGTTACAGACATCATGACATTCTGTCCTCCAAACGTCTCTGAGTGTAAGAGTTGAGGGGAAGGTGGCAAAGGGCCGAGGTTAGTGGGTCAGGGCGAGAGGTATCGGGAAGCTCATTATGTTCTTTCAACTTTTCTGTAACTCTGGGATTTTCAAAACAACCTTGGCTGGGAAATCAGTTCTACGTTCACTGTCCTGAGGCAGCAGCCTCTATCATGTTGTGGTCAAGACAGAATACCTCGGGATGGATTCATGCCCAGCTCTCTGGGAAGCCCAGAATACACTGGGCCTCGGTACACGTGACCACCACTGCTGTCTGCCATTGCTGTGTCCCTTCATCTTCCCAGCTCTGTCTCCTGCCAAAGGAAAGGATCGTTTGGCTTGCTTTCTGGTGGCTCAACCTTCAATGTGCCCAGAGATCAGATTATCCAGACCAAATGCCTTTGTGGGTCAAGTCCGTTCTGCACCAAGTGCTGTCCCACTGTTGAAGGAGGAAGCTTCAGGGACTCGGAGTGAAATGACTTCCAAGAGCCCACTGAGGCAAGACACGGAAATGGGCCCTGTCCTGCCCCTCTTCCCTCCCCTAGGATGCTCCCAGGGTCTCACAGATAGCATGATTCTAGAGGAAACACACTTTAGAAGTGAGTCCCAAGCTGCTTTCAAAACTAAGCCATGACTATGGGTTCAGCAGCCAGCCCACACCTGGGATCTGGCACAGATACTCTCAATCGGGTCCCTGTGCGTAAAGAACAGGGCGCCAGGTGACTCCAGCTCCACCTTTCTTACAGGTGGTTTAATGCGACCTCCTCAGGAGTCTCTTCCAAGTAGCAGTCTGCATCCATTTGCTTCCTCCCCTGGAAGTATGAGGGACGTGGAGTTGCGGGGAGAGGGAGGGTCCCAGGCTGCAAATGACCTACTATGATCATACTTGCTGGGCAGAGACTGCCTTGCTTTCAAGATGGAGCAGAAAGAGCAGATCTGGTCCCAGCTATGGGGCTAAGAGGGAATCTCAGAACTCAGAGAGGTTGGTTCACCTCTATGTAAACAAGAGTCTAACAGACTGTTGGTCAGGACAGCACCATCCACCTGGGAGGGGTGCTGCGAGGACCCAAACGGATGCTCGCTAGAAAGCAGTGAGCCCAGGGCTCCAGGGTAATCAATCCAATGTCCACCTTCCTCCTGCCTTTGATGGAGTAAAGATGGATGTCACTTAGTGGAAAAGAGTTCAAGTGAGTCAGAAATCTCAAGTATATACAAGGCATGTAGACGTGTGGGGACCGGAAGGCAAGTCGGCCTCCTACGCCCCTGCTGAGAGGGGGCTCTCCATTCATGCGTCCTAACAGAAGCTGATGCTATGCAAACCCCCCGGGGTGAATTCATCCCCCTTTCTGAATGGGCATGGTCAAGTGGAAGAAGGGAGTAACAATCACTTGGCTGAAAGAAGTTGCCAAGTACAAGGGAGGAAGAGGGGCCAGGCCAGAGAAGTCCAGCAGCAAGGGGTCTTTGGAGGGCTGTGCAGGACGGCAGCAACAAAAGCAGCCTGGACCACAGCAGAAAGAGTACCGAGACCTCAGCTCTAGCCATGACCTCCGGCGGCTGTGGGCCTGTGTGGCCCAGCTCTCATCTGAAGGAGATCAGCAGGGAGATGCACACTGAGCTTCTGCCCACGCTGGCCATGTGGGGCTCTTGGCCGAGAAGGCCCACTCCCATCCTATCAAGAGAGAAGAGCTCTGGAGATCTCGACATCCCCCACCCTTTCCCCAGGAGCACATATAGAGTGCACCATGACAGGGAAGAAATGGGCCATCTGCAGGGGAGCAAGCCGTGCTCGCCTGCGTCCCCTGGCCACTCTGGATGTCTAACTGTGAAGAGGGGACCCAGTGCTCCTCCCTCGGGGCTAGCCTGGCAGCAGACTGCAGAAGACACGGGAGGGAAACAGAACCAAGACAGTATGGAGCTGCCCCTGACCCTTTGGTCGGTGGTCATGACTTGGAGAAAAAAGGCTTCGTCCTACAATCCTAATCCTCCAAAAAGGGAGTCGACTGTGAGAATAGTGTGTTCCACATCTCCTGTCGCTCGAGGCATTCAAGCAAGATGGTCACTGCATGACCACATTATGCAGATAGAAACCAGCTCTGAAGGGGGCGAGCTGACCTCCCTCTGACTCCACAGTGCGGGCCCCTGTGGAGACACAGGGCAGGGTGCCTCACTGGGGGGCTGGGTTAGGATACCTTGGTGTGTGGAGTCAGTGTTGTGGACCTTTCTGAGACTATGGCCTTGGTTCTGTCAAGGATCAACTGATATTGAGCAAATCTTTCACCTCCCTGTGCCACATGAAGATAAGATGATCACACATGCCCCCATTCGAGGGCAAATCTTACAAAGGTTTTCAGGAGAACTCCTACATGTGTCCCATGCAGCGGCCAAGGCAAAAAGCAGTCTGCAAATATGCATTAGTGAGTTCACACCTCTGACCTCCTATAGCCAACAATCCCTTCAGAGAATTCAAGAAGAGTTGTCTATTCTCTGGACAGACTTGAGCACCCTATGCAGGGCGTTCCAGAATCTTAAAGATGAATGAGCCGATAGAGGCCTTGAAGGTTCATAACTGTCAAGTTCGGCCAAGAGAGTCTGAGGTTCACAGACTCCTTCTGAAGGTCCTGTGTCCTAGGCGAAGGGGACATTTCAACACGGGACGTAGCATTAGGTGCATGCGTAGCCTTTTCAAAGGAGTCCAAGTGCTCCTGGTTCAGCCCAGTGGCCCACATGCTGGGGCCAGGTGGCATTTGGGTTCGGTCTCCTTTAAGAAGTCCTGTAGGCCAGTGAGCGGGTTCCTTCTGAGCAGTGCAGCGAAGCCCATTTCCATCCAAGAGCCAGGAACTTCCAGTGTACAACAGAGGATTTGGGAGGATGAGTGAATGGGTGACTTTCAGAAATGGCAGGGATGATGATGGAAGAAATCAAAGTCCCCTCAGTGAACACAGAGGTCAAACTGTCCTTATTCCTGCCATCGTAAGGGCCTACCATGTGCCATATTCTCTAGCCTAACGTGTGTCCCCTAAGAGATGAGCATGTCTTCCCTTTGGGTTCACCCCTTATGGAGAGTGGGGAGGAATTCTTCACTGCCTAAACCAAAGCATCCCCTGAGATTGACAAGTTCCCAGTAGGCCAAGATACAGCCTCTAAACTCTTCCTGAGACCAACTTGCACTTTCCCCTATTTACAAATCAAATGCAATTCCAGACAATCTTTCTTGAAATATATAATCTCTCTATATTTTAAGCGAGGAATGCCCTGTCACTTTTTATTAGGAAAAGAAACCACATCCACATACCAATCCCACTCTCATCCAAGCATTCCAGAACTACACTGCTTATCTATGCAGGGAGGTGCCGCACAGAAATCATCGTCCTAGTCATCATCATCGAGCAGAGGGAAATAATAAAATAGATACTCTGGGGTTCCAACCATTTTCAGTTTCCACCGACAATTCCAGCTGCACAGTAAATTGTTGGAACTGGCGATGATAAAACTAAATATCTTTAAGTGGGGGCTTTTGGTCATTCCATTGCTACTTCTGTTGGTAATGCATACCAGTTTCACAAGGTGCATGCTTTTCAAATTTTTAAACTGGCAAGCTAAAATGATCCACGTCTTCTTGCCCACCCACCCCCTGAAAAAAAGTTAATAACTTGGAACCTATGGTCGTGGCACACCTGGGGTCAAGGCTGCTCATGGAACATGCTTGATTTGGCAAGATGATAAAAACCTCTTGGGTTTTGTCTTTCCCTTCTGTTTGGAAGCAGCCCAAAGCAGGTTACCAACAAAACATGAGTGAGGGGAGTGGAAAAATGAACCTGACACTTCCCATCTGGTCACACGGTCCACCTGCACATAGAGGCACACACGCTCACACTGCACACGCAGACACAGCCACCCAGTCCTCGGGGAGGAAAAGAGAGAGTTAGTGAGACACGCCTCTAGGGGCGGCAGTCAAAGGCTCTCGGCTTGGTGAGCCACTTCGGGCTGGGTATCCTCAGCTCTGTCTCCGTGCTCTTGGTCTCACACCTGTCCTAGAAAAGCCACCCCGGAGAAAGGGGGCAGGGCGGGCGGGGGGGGGAATATAAGGCATACTTTGCTGGGGAGGAAGGAAGAAATCCATGCTTCATGCTCAGATGCGAGTTTCAGAGAAGGATGGGCCTTTATCTTCCCTTTGGACAGCTCTGCCTGGCTGGAAAGGTGGGGAAGAAAATGAAACCGAGAAAGGAGGGAGGAGAGAAAGGAATGGCGATGACCGTAATCATAACGAAAGGTAATAATAAATAAATAAGGAGGAAAGACGAGTTGAGCCAATGGAACTTACATCCACGTGACAATGACTTCCGATCCTTCCCTCCCCACACTTAGACGGACTTCCGGCGGCGCATCAGCCTGTGGTTGTCGTTGAAGCTGTGCAACCCAGGCGAGACGGAGCTGAGCGGAGACGGCAGGAGGCTGTTCTTCAGGGTGCTCGGCGAGATCTCCTCCATCTTGTAGGAGATGGCGCGCAAGGTGGGGGGCGCGAGCTTGGCACTGACGCTCGGCGGCGCCTGGGGGTCGTAGCAGGCGCAGGAGCACACCACCGACTGCAGCTCGCCGCCCTCGCTCCTGCGGCGCCGTCGCGCGGGCCGCCGCTCCTCCTCGCTGCCGGAGATGTGCGCCACCACCACGCTGTTGCGGTTTTCGGGGGCCGGCTCCCCACCTTCCAGCTCCGGAGGCTGCTCTTCGTCGCTGTTCATGGTCAGGAAGCGGAGGACCACCAGGTTGAGGAAGGCTCCGATGACGGTCAGCCCCACCAGGATGTACATGAAGCTGAAGGCCACGTAGAAAGGCTTCCTCTGCAGGGCACCCTTGGTCTGCAGCGCCACATAGTCCCCGAATCCGATGGTCGTCAAGGTGATGAAGCAGTAGTAGTAGGCGTGGAAGAAGCTCCACTCCTCGCACTGGGAGAAGGCGGCCGCCCCGATGCACAGCGTGCCCATGCAGGAGAAGAAGCCGACGGTCACCATGTTCTCCATGGACACCTCGGTGTTGCGCATGCCGCAGCACTTCTTGATGCGTTTCAGCAGGTAGCGCACGAAGGTGTTCATGCGCTCGCCCAGGCTCTGGAACATGACCAGCGTCAGGGGGATGCCCAGCACAGCGTAGAACATGCAGAAGGCCTTGCCAGCGTCGGTGCCAGGTGCCGCGTGTCCGTAACCTGCAGGAGGGGTGGGAAGAGCAGAGCGACAGTCAGGAGAGGCCCTGTGCCGTTCGCGTGTACTGAGGTCTAGGATACTCTATTTGGGAGGAGGTTGGCCCACACCCTAAAAGGACAAGGAAAGGTTTGTTTAAGCGACGGAAGGGTTGGGGTGTGGGGGTTGGAGGAATTTCAGTAGGGAGGGAACTTGGAGCATAGGTCAAGCATCCCTAATCCAAAACTGAAATCCAAATGCTCCATGGTCCAAAATTTGGAGCGCTAACGCAATGCCACAAGTAGAACACTGTACAAGATGATATTTTGTTTCATTTATACTTACTTAAAATATTATATAAAATTCAGCCTAAGTGTATAAAGTATAGAAAATATGAATGTCCTGGGTAGGCTAAGATATCTCATTGCATACATGCAAATATCCCAATATCTGAGAAGATTCCAAACCCCGAACACCTCTGGTCCCATTTTGGTTAAGGGATGTTCAACCTATACTGTGACTCAGGACTGAGGAGAATCAACCAGGGTATGTCACTAGTGACGTGACACTGGAAGGGTATATGGGGCATTTCAGTGTTCTCAAAGCAACAGTTTTTAAAAGAAAAAAAAAAACATATCTAACTACTAAGAAAAGTGTACAAATACCAAAACCAAGGGAGAAAATGAAGTATTCTCACAACGGCTCGATCCCCAAGAAAAGGGAATATTAAAAGAACCACTGCCACGTGGCAGGGACCATACAGATGCCTGTAACACATGTCACCCCAGCCTAACCTCCTAGTCACCCTAGAAAACAGGCATAATGATCCCCACACTGCTGACAAGAAATCTGGGTTAGTGGCTTCATAAGTAGGGTAGGTTGTCTTCTTCAGAATTGGGATTTGAGCCCAGAGTTTTCAGCCTCCTAGAGTGAGGCTAAGAGTAAGAATTAGAATCAAGAGAGGTGATGCAGACTGCGGCACAATGCCATGGGGAGGAGGCCTTCATCTGTTTTGGTCACTGCTGTATCCCCCATGCCTAGATAATACTTAAAAAGGTAAAATACTCCTCTGATGGAGGCATGAGTACTTCTGCACCACTGTGTGAATGTGGCCTTGACAGGAATGTGGCCTCGAAGGCCCTCCATGTGCAGGAGCTTTGGAAACTCCCGCTGGAACTGTGCAGCATGCCATTCACCGATGCCCTGCTATAACCATGCAAAGTCAGGCCTCTATTTTATTTGCTCCTGTTCAGCATGAGGATGATGGATCTAGAAAGGTAAGGTTGCTGGTTAGGGTCACCTATAGTCAGTGGCAATGTCCAAGCCAGGATATGGTCTGCCCAATATGAGAAGAGGAACCTCAGAACCCAGTAGGTTGTAGCTCAAGTTCTGGGATGAATATTGCCCAGAAGAAAACCTGGGCCATGCACAGTATTCAGACTTGGAGTTTGGAGGATAGACCTGGTCTTCCACCATCTCAAGACCTGACCTGTCAAGGAAGGCTTTGCTTATGTTCCCCCAATCACATGATCATTGTCACTCAACCAGCTTCCTTGCCATGGACCCAGAGAACTCCTCCGAACCCAGGTGTCTTCATCTGACACAAATAATAGCAATGTTTCTGGGTGGGTTTGGTGAGAATAAAGAGCAGCTAGTCCAATACACAGTAGAGACCTACTGACTTCTAACTGTGAACAATGGAGGCTGGCAAACAGTGGAATCACATCTTCAAAGAGCTAAGAGATTCTTAAACTCAGAATTCTATATCCAAAAAAAATTACCTTCAGGAATGAAAGCAAAATGAAGACATTTTCAAATTTTTAAAACTGGGATAATTTATTACCAGCAAATCTGCATGGCATGACTACAGAAGGAAGTTGTTCTGTGCAAGCAGGGAGGATACCAGATGGAAATTTAGGTCTTCAGGAAAGAATGAGACACATAGTGGTAAACAAGTAGGTAAATATAAAAAATGCAGGTGGGGATCCCACTGTATTCCACATAGTCACCTGTAGAGCTGATACAAAAGCCAGATGGATGTTGGAGAATAACAGGAAATTGTTAGAAACTTAAATGGCAATGCTAAGAGTTCTGGATGTAACGTCTTTACTGGAAGAAATCGACACAGCATTTTCGGGGTCAAAATTGCACACATCAAGGGCCAGGCTCCTCCACTCCTATGCCTATCAGTAAATAAGATCAGAGCTGTTTGCCTTTACACAGTCTGGACAGCAGTACACCTGCACATCCCATCTCAGGGCTGTATTTGTCCTGCTGCTATTGTATTACAGAATGGAAGAACCCGATCATGTTGACACCTCACAGTTCATCTCGCTGGTCCAGGTCCATTACACTGATGCCTTAGTGAGATGCACAAGAAAGCATGGGAGACCAGAACCACCCAAGTTCGGGGCCCTTGAATGCTAATAAATTCCATAGGAGCCCAGTGGTCTGAGAACAGGACCACTTCCTCTAAAGTGAGAGATGAGTTGCAGAACTTGCAGGGCCTTCTAGGAGAATGAGGATGTGCAGATCCTCCCCCACCCAGGCGCCCACCTCCACCCTGCACTCTACCCTGCTGTCCAAACTGTCCCCCTGCTCTCTAGTTTCCACTTGACCCATCCAATGGGCAGCCCCAGGGGGAGATCAAAGGAAAGGAGGACCCTGTCCATCAGGAGTCATACCACAGAGCTCTCTACAGGTCCTGGTGGCTGGTCCCCAGGTGCCACACCTCACTTTGCTTTCCCCCAACTCTACCCATGGTGGGGGAGAGGCCGAGGAGGGTAATTGGACTCGTCATTTCTGTTGTATCTGGGGCTTGCCTTAGGACCCACTGTGGCCAGAAGATCCTGCTCCTGCTGGCTTATGTGAGATTTCCCAGCAGTGGACAAGCCACTGAGCAGGAAAAGCCGCCTGGCCTTGCTCCCCTCTGAGCAGCATTTCCTTTAAAGAGGCTGTGACTGTCCTGTAGGCCCTCCATACTGGACAAAGGCGGACTGCAACCAGCCTCACCCCTGACCTACCAGTGTTCAAGAACTGTCCCTGGCTCCTTCCTGCCCCTGGCAACGAGGCCCATCCGCACCTGGCTGTAGGTGATTGTTCCAGACTTCCACACACTTCGCATTGGCCAAGCGCGGATCGTAGTGTGGGCTCCAGAGCTGTGTGGAGGTAGGCCTTGGTGCTCCCGCCTGGCTCCTCGCCCACCCTTTTCCTTCTACTTGGGATGCCCCTGGCCACTACCACATGCAGGTAGCAAGCTCCACTCGTGTCTGAGCCCAGCTCAGAATGCCTTCCCTGATGTCCCCGCTCTCTCCCCCAGAAGCCCTCAAGCCCTGCTCTGAGTCTCCCCTGCAAGGAAGGGTAGTCGAGTAACAAGATCAACTTCCCACGTCAGGTCCGACCGCCACCTTAGTGACTGTGGATCACCTCCCTCCTGTAGCCTCCTCTTTGGTCATGTTTACTGTAACCTCCTAGGGAACCTGGTGTCAGAGAAGGGGTGGTGGCAGTCTCCTCCAGCCCATTGGTGCCAGGGAACAGAATGCCTAGAACAGTCAAGCCCTGAATCCAGGGTCACTAGTCAAAGCCTGAATCATTGAGATTTTTGCTGGAATAAAGTTTTATTCTTTCCTGTGAGAACTTGAAGGGTGCCAGAGTGTGAGATCTGGAGCTGCTGCAGTCATTTCACCATCATAAGGATAACCCCCAATCAGAGGAAATTGTCTCTGATATAAAAGATACAGAAGCTATTCCACCTGTGTCTGAGCCCATCCAACAGTCAACCCTATTCACAGAATGTTCCAGTCTATCTCCCAATAAATCTAGCTTCAGACTGTATGGGTTTTTTTGGGTTTTTTGTTGTGTTTTTGTTGTGTTTTGTTTTGTTTTTTGGTTTGTTTGTTGGTACAGAGGACAGTGTTTTGATTACAATTAATACTCAACCAGGAGTGCATGTCCTAATACCTTCGCCTTCCTACAAAGAATCACGATGTTGCCAACAAAGCCTTCTGTGTCCCCTGCCCCCTGCATCTCATGTGGTTCCTCTTACAGCCCACATCAGATCTGAGGGGGGATGTGGGCCCAGGAGGTGACCAGTCTGTGGTAGACAGTGGCCAGCTGGACAGCCAGGTCCTGTCAAAGAGCAGCTGCTCCCTGTCCAGCAGCTAAGACTGTGGACTGAGATGGCCCCATTTCCTGAGTTGTAAAGAGAAGCTGGAAATATGGATTTTTAAAATGTGGGATTTAATTAGCGTCTAATTAAACATTCTGAAACATAGGCCAAATACAACAAGACAAAACAGACCATCATTTGTCTTCAACGGAGCTTACACGTGCTCCAGGCATGGAAGAAGGGAAAGACTTCGGCAAATGCCCAGGCTCCCAAGTCTCCCTACTGACCAGTCCTCTCCCCGCCCGTTCGCCTCACTCCACCCCTATGAGGTGAGAATCGCCCTTGGCTCCATTTCGCAGATGCACAGACCAAGGCGGCAAGAGAGCACTGCCCCACGTGGGCCGAGGTGGCCCTGCCCTGCACAGGGCCCACTGAGGCACCCCTTCCAGAATCAGTGGCCCCATTTCACAAAGAGCACAGAGACTGTCCCGGTGACTTTCTCCCTGTGGGGACCCCAGGCCCGCTGGGCAGTCTGGCCCTAAGTACCACCTCGCTGTCCCCAGAGCCAGGAAGGCCCTCTGTGGCTGATTGACAGGTCTGGCCCTCTGTGTTTGGAAGGAAAAGCTAGCAGTTTTCGTGTTTTATTTAATGAACAAGTAACTTCCTCTTTAGCTTTTTTTTTTTTTTTTTTTAATTTCCAGAAAGAACTTTGGTTCACTTTAGCTCCCTCCCGTCGTGTGTCTTGGGGAGGAAACGGACCTACCAGACTTTTCATGCTCAAGCTGCAGCGCACGCCTGCCTTTCTGCCAGGAGCTACTAAGAACCTTGTCCTTCCTCCTCCTCTGTCCTGAGGGCGGCCTGGGGCGGGGAAGGGGACGGGCGCGGGGAGAGGGTCCGGAGAGACAGATGGGACGGGCA